GTTCCTCAAAAGCCAAATTTTCCTAATGATACGAAAAACAAATAAAAAAGGCATCACTTCAAGGAAAAATATAGATCAGTGGCTCGAAGGTCGTGGTAAAGTTTATCAGTCTAGCAAATTCTCAGAAGAACAAATCAAAAAGGCTTATGAAAAGTATGTCAATCATTCTTCAAAGAGATTTTTCTTGGATATTCGCATAATTTTGTTGCTTATCGTGTGCTAAACAAATGAAATCGAAAAGTGGAAGAAACATTTAATGTTACTTTTGATGATTATTATATTAAACAATTTAATAAATAATTTGACAATCATCCAATCTTGCAAGAAAATCAAACTGAATATGAAAATATACAATCATTTGATATTGATTATGACTTGATTTTTGGAAATTCAGATTATGCTGCATATGTTGAATGTCATGCTCATGATAGTCATGTCATTGAAGTTTCAAAACTAAATGATGATTCAACATCATCTCCTCAAACAATGGGAGAAAGTATGCATAATGATCCAGTCGAGGGGGAGCACACGGATTTGAACACTCTACCTGAGGGGGGAGCATTCTTTTCGAGGGGGAGAATGAAAGGGCATGTGATGATGTTGAAGGGGAGCAATTAAATGATCATATTGAGGGGGGAGTTAAATCAAAATGATGAAACTTATAATGATATTAATGATGTTGGTTCAATTGCAAGATCTAAAAATGATGAAATGTACGAAGATGCACCTTTGGACTTCGATTCAGGTTATCCACCAATGGACAAATGGACAAAAGATCATCCGAAGGAACAAATAATTGGTAATCCACAAGAAGGAGTTTTAACAAGAGCTCAAATTCGTGCGAAGAATGAGGTATTAAATGTTCATCAAGAATTTGTATGTTCAACGTTTTTATCTCTAAAATTAAGCCAAAAACAGTTAAGATTGCAATGGAACACTTAGATTGGGTTGTTGCAATGCAATCTGAATTGTCTGAATTTGAACAAAATAAGGTTTGGAGGTTAATTCCTAAACCAAGTGATGTTTCAATTGTCGGATTAAAATGGATTTTCAAAAATAAAACCTACAAAGATGGAAATATAATTCGAAACAAAGCCAGACTTGTTAAGGGATGTATTCTCAACCAGAAGGAATTTATTATGAAGAAACTTTTGCCCCTGTTTCAAGAGTCGAGGAAGTTCGTATATTTTTCGCTTATGCAGCTCACAAAGATTTTGATGTATATCACATGGATGTGAAGTGCGCATTTCTGAATGGAGAACTCGAAGAAACAGTATCTGTGGAACAACCTCCAGGTTTTATAAACGAAGAACATCCAGATTATGTTTATATTTTAGATAGGGCAGTTTATGGTTTGAAACAAGCATCACGAGCCTGGTATGCAACTCTTACTTCATTTTTGAAGCAATCTAAATTTAAATAAGGATTAGTTGACCCCACATTATTTCGTAAGAAAGTTGGGAATCATCTAATGCTTGTTCAAATTTATGTTGATGATATTATTTTTGGCTCAACTGACCCTGCTTTGTCTAAAGAATTCGAAGATCTGATGAAAAGTAAGTTCGAAATGAGTATGATGGGAAAAATTAATAATTTTCTTGGTTTAAACATTCTTCAAAACAGAGAAGGAATTTTCATAAATCAAGAAAAATACACGAAGAATCTGCTCAAAAAGTTTGGCTTGGTGAATAGCACGAAATTACGCATTCCAATGGTAACTGGCATTAAACTCACTCCTTCGTTAGATAAACATGTCGTTGATATAACTTTATATAGAAGCATGATTGGATCTTTACTTGATTTGACTGCAAGTACACCTAATATCATGTTTTTTGTCTGTAATTGTGCTAGGTATCAATCAAATCCTCGAGAACCACATCTCACTGTTGTGAAGAATATTTTTCGTTATCTCAAAGGAACATCTTCGCATGGATTGTGGTACCCTTCGAATATTGGATTTTTTATTCAAGCATATTCGGATGCTGATTTGGGAGGATGTAATCTGGACAGTAAAAGTACAAGTGGTGGTTGTTAATTACTTGATGGTAAATTGGTAAGTTGGCAATTGAAAAAGAAGACATGTGTTTCTATCTCAACAGCCGAAGTTGAATATGTTGTTGCTGCTGCTTGCACATCATAGATAATATGGATTAAAAGTTAATTACGTGATTATGCAATTAATATGAAAGAGTTTCCTTTATATTTTGATTCACAAAGTGCAATAAGAATTTGTCATAATCCCGTGCAGCATTCGAAGACCAAACACATTGCTCTTCGCTATCACTTCATAAAAGATCATGTAGAAGATGGGAATATTGAAGTTCATTTTGTGAAAACTACTGATCAACTGGCTGATATTTTCACAAAAGCATTGGATGAAAAATCGTTTGGGATGGTTGATGGTAATTCTATTTCATGCGAAAAAGGGGATTGACAGTTCACAGATAGGTCATCAATGGATAAGGTTACTGTTCATATGTCACTCTTCGAATGCTTCGAATTCGTATGATTAAAATTTTTTTTTCAAAGATCTGCACCAAGTAACTTTTGTTTTTTTGTTCTTTGTTTTCGAAAACTCAAAGATATCAAAAAGATTTTCATTTTATTTTGTTCTTTCTTTTCGAAAAATCAAAAACAACAAAAAGATTTTTTTTCAAGTACTTTGTTGTAGATTTTCTTAAAGAGATGAAGAGGCAAATGTTCGCAGATTCTAGGGTCAGGTATAAACTAGTTAAGATGTCCCTAGAAGCATGCTGCAGCATGTTGTCTAAAGCCTCGAATTGACTCAATTAATGAAATTATTCATACGAAGATTTCTTCCCAATAAGGCTTACATTCACATTAGTCCAATGAGCTACCTTACTCTTCTTATATGAGTTAAGAGTTTTCTGTTTGGTCCAATATAACAGAGGTAAAATCTTTCTAAGGAACCAATCTTTTTCATCTTAAAATTCTTACACTTGCACACACGAAGACATATATCTACGAGGTTTCTGATCAAAACCAATCGAAATCTAGGTATATCACAAATTTGTGTTAATGATCAGTCGTCATGAGACCGTGATAATAATGAAACCCAAATTTCTTTCCAAATTAAGGAATTGAAGGGGACCTATGTTCCAACCTTAATGAAACTTTTGTTTCAGTACCAATCTTCAAAACTCCAAATCATATTCATTTCGTATGAGTGATCTTGATCAAATTTTCGAAACCCACAAAGTTTGTTACAATTACTCACCTTATGTTAAGGCTGATATGTAACGAAATTGTTTTTAGCCACCAATGTAACTTTACAAAAGATGCCCTTCGAAACTTATCTACAAGTTTTTGATTGTATTTCATGAGAACATACACAAGTTGTTGATTAACTCTCTTGATAATTAACGAAGCAACCTTTGCCTAGGGTTTAACAGTCTTCGTGTCAAATTCATTTTTGACATCACAAATATCCAAAAAAAAAAATTGTTTCTGATCTTAATTCTTTGACACAATGCACACACGAAATCCTTGAGGTTCTGAGTAATACCAACTCTGGCTGATGATTTCGAATCTCTGGAAAATGACTTTACTTTAAAACCTAAAAGTAAAAGAGCCTAACCTCCATCCGAAGGGTTCTGACGGTTACAATTCCATTGGGTCAATAAATACAGGTTGTTTGAGGAGACGTTTTATATTACTTCTGATTTTCAAGGCGATGTGACAGTTACTTTTTGACACATGGTTACTTTATCATGATCATGATGTGCTTTTCTTGGTGACACATCATCAAACATTAAATGCTTATCCCGCTTTGATTTCAAATTGAAGAGTTACATATAAAACCGAATACAAGGGTTAATGATCCGTTTACGCTTTCTTGATTCCAAATACTCTATGTGAATCAAATTATCATTGTTCATCGTTTACTTTAAAACCCTAAAATGGCGAATGTTGCAAATGTTACGGCTGAACCTTCTCACACAACGGATGATGGTACTTCTCTGCTAATCATGAAGATTCAGGGTACCAATTATCAGGTGGAATCCAATGTTTCATTGTATCCTGAAGAACTTAAAATGCTTATTGTTGCTCTGCAAAACTCTGTTTTATCAAAAGCAATCTTCAACTCCTTTTCCGTTCCTCTCTCATGGTTATCACAAGCTGGATCAACTGCCACATATTCCAAAGGATTGGATGTTGTTACATTTAATCTAATCAATGATATAAAGGTTAGATTGACAACAAAGCTTTTCTGTAAAACTCTTGATATCCCAAATTCTCCACCATATGTTTCTTTAACATTTCCTCAAATCGTCCACATGTTTAATGAAATGGGTCATCAACCCCAGTTAACAAAAATAAGCGATTTTAAGAAGTCGGGGCTTCCATGTGTATGAAATTTTCTTCGTTGTTTGACTGGAAGAATGGTGGGACTTGATAAGGGCAGAATGGAGGTATACGCCATGGTAACAGGGCTATATGATGATCTCCAGGTGGACTATTCTACTCAACTCTAGAAGAAATTTCAAAACAGTATCGAGAACACGAATGTTGTTCATGGCATTTCGTGTGCTAGGTACTGGAGCTTGATTTTGCAACATTTCTATGATAAAGAAGGGATTTTAGTTCCAGCTAATAAGGAGAAGGCTGTGTTCCATACATATAATTATCTGAAGGATGCAATGGATGATTTGGATGAGTTTCCGTTTGCAGCTCGCATCCCTGATGCAATGCTAAAGAGAGTTGATCCTTCGAAACCAGTCTTGGTTTCTTACTTAGCAACTATCGATATGTCTGTGGAAACTGGGACTCTTTTACCACAGATATCCAAAAATAAATCAAAGAAGTCGAAAACAGCTGATGTTGGGTCTTCAGATACAGAAGTCAAGTCTTCAAAGAAAACAAAGTAGGTTCCTGTGATTGAACCTGAGCCAATTCAGCCAGACCTGATTATTCCTGATACCCAGGTCACTGAAAAGGAAGTCATTCCTTCGAAGACTGGTGTATTCAGACGAATTAAGATGAAGTTGAAGAGTAAGAGAAGATCATCAGGTACAACTGTTCGCAAAACACAAGTATCTCATCAAGGGGTCATTTTTTGGGAAATTCCTGCCCATGTTTCTCCATCATCAAAGACGAGAATGGTTGCTGACATGGCTAAGCATATTTCTAAAAATAAGCAGCGTAAGTTGCTTCTCTCTTCTGATTCTACAGCTGATGAGATAGAACTTATTCCAGAGACTCCAGAAACAGTTCTTCTCAAAGAATCTTCTAAAGCTGATACTTCTATGACTCAACCACCCGAAGTTTCGATTGCCAAGACAGTTACTGTGGAGGCTCGAACTTCAGACATCACTGTAAACATATTTGATATGGATACAAATGTCATCATGGGTGAGAATACTTCGAATTATGTAGCTAAAGGTAACACTTCGAATGTTATTTCAGAATCTCTCATTTCTTTGCCTTCTTAGACTAACCCTATTATTCCTACAACATCTACCACTTATTCTCCCACATTTACTCACATTATTTCACATCCATTCACAACTCTCTTTTCATCACAATCAACTGATCCACCTACCACCACCTCTCCACTGAAAGATGCATTCCTGGAAACTAAAAATAAATCAGAAGGATTTGGGGGAACATTTGACAACTTGGAGTTTGATGAGGAGGAAACCGACTTCCCTAATCATATGCTAATGACGATGAAACAATTTAAGATTTTGAATACAAAGCTCAATTCAATTATTCAATCTCAAGCTGAAATTAGGGGAAGTCATGATTTATCAAGTGTGGAAGTTTATGGTATGTTGTCATTGCTTGAAGGCAGGCTGACAACCAAAGTTTCTAGAATGATTCAAGATTCTGATTCCTGTTTAATGGAAAAGATAGATCTTTTTGATAAAAACAAACAGTTACGGGTGAAGTCACAGAAATCTGATTTTTCGTCAACCTTACAACATTTGAAATTTGTAGCAAAAGAATGACATGTGCTATATGTTAAGAGAGTATGAGAAAACATAAATTTCAAAATTCAGGAATTACATGAAGATATGGACAAGGAAATTTTAGTTGTTCATACTGAATTTGAATCCATCAACAAGAAGGTGGATATTATATGCGAAGCTGTTACAAAGTTTGCGAAGCTCTATGAAAGCCTGGGTCCACAAATTACTCAGCTTTCAATAACTGATAATAAAAATTTCATGGAAGTATTCTCACTTATTAAAGAGCTCAAAAGTCTATCTTCCAAGCCTGCTTCATCCACAATATCTTCGGAAGATTTGATCAAGAAATTTTCAAAGTTCGAAGAATTACTTATCCAAAAACTGGCTCCTTTATCCCGCATTTCCAATCTTCTTCCAACTACGTATGCCCCGCCTGCTAGCACAGGGGTGCAAGGGGGAGAAAAAATAATGGCAGGAACGAAGACAGGAAGAGATTCGAAGGTTGTGGGGAAAGTATTTTCAACAAATATTCCATCAACAAAACCAGTCATTGAAACAGCTGGTCCAATCTCTTCAACAGTTGTCACTACTGTGTCATTCACAAAACCAAAAGGAATTGTGATTGGTAAAAATACTAAAGTTGGAGGGAGTGGTTCCAAATCGAAAGAAAATATTGATGTATCTGGTGCTAAGTCAAAGGGAAAAGAGATATTGATTGAAAAATCTAAGGAGGAGAAGAAGGCAGAAGTAGAAGCGGAGGTTGAGAAAATGAGAATGATACAAAGTATCATTACTCAAAGAGAAAGTGACCCTCCTGGTTTGAACAAGGGTGATCCTGCGAAGCACTATAACTATGAAACGATTGAAGCCAAAGTTGCTTTTAATCACATGTACGCATTTGAGAAAAAGCCCAAACAAAGCTACATTGTTACAAACACAGATTCAAGCTAGTTAGATTTCCCCATCAATGAAATGATGTTCATCATGCCACAATTCAAGGCTGAGAGAAAATTTAAAGAAAAAGATTAAGGGACACACTTGAAAATCAGATTTCATGATGTTCTTGCTAAGCCAGCTGAGGAAGTGTGGTTGTTAACAAAGATCAAGAAAGTGATTAGCATAAAGATGGATGTGATCTTCGAAGAAACAGTCCAAAATATTAAGTATGTGGTGGTGAGGAAAGATCACATGAATCCTTCACAATATTAAGGATGTGATCTTCGAACAAATAAGTTTGTATATTGCGAAGTTGAAAGATCACATGATGGAAAAGTATATGATTTGCATTAATTCTGAAGGAAAGATCATTTTCTTATTTGCAAAATAATGAGCCAGATAAGTTTAAGGTTGGAGTGACTCACATCAAAATCTTTATTGAAAGTTATTATGAATGTCTTGCAATGACTGATGTGGAGTTGGCAACTGCGAAGCGTTTGGAAATAAAAGCTCCCATGAATCCTTTGAAGACTCAAACATAACTTAAAAGATATGCTGATGGAGAAATCTACTTGAAACCCTTTGGGTTAGTATTTTCTGGGAAGGATAAGTCAGGAAGATCGAAGAAATTTTTGTTTCAAGCTGCTGAGGTGGAAAGATATTCAACTTCGCAATATACAAACTTATTTGTTCATATGAACCATTGCAAGAAGAATAACGAAGGTGATAAGAAGAAACTGAAGAAAATTATTAACTGGTATACGGAGATTCGAAGGGTCATGCTTTACTCTATTCAAATTCTTAACAAGTGATGACTTCGACTTTAATTCCAAAGGGGGAGATTTTAAGAGTATATTTTGTAGTAATTAGTCGAAGTATTTCGTATCTTCGTATAATCTATTCTTCGTTCCTTATGTAATTTATTTTTCTAAGGCATTGTATTCGAAGCATAACGCTTAGTCCTTAGAATATCTTTTTGTACGCTTTTCTCTCCTATAAATATGAGTGTTTACTAGAGTTAGATAGAAATTTGAGAGAACTTGTATTTTTGTACTATGTAAAAACTTGAGAAGCATAATAGAGCTGAACCACAAATGATATTTACATCGGTGTTCAAATCTCGCATACTTCTTTTTGATCACTTGAAACTCTGATAAATTTCATACTCAATTCATTTGCTTCATCAATTTTGAAATAGGGATTTAAGTATTGGATAAACCCATGCTCAGAGAATTACTTCATGGATTTTATCACGAGTAATTTTGTGATGATAATATCTTATATTCTTGAAATAGAGATATATTAGTTGTTGTTTACGAGTCATTTGTGCATTGATAACATGTAAATACATCACAAACTTGATGTTATAAAATGTATTGGTGTGCGTGATTTGATGAGTGAGTAATGCAAGCATATAAGTCGAAGTTTATCCGTTCCTTTTGTCCTGACGGGAAAAGCGATATATGTGGGCCCCTTGATGATTTGATGATGACATCTAAAGTCCATGGCCAAGCCTGGACTGAATTGATGTGTTCAATTAGTAGTCTGATATCAGTCGTCATAAATCAAAAATCGGGAAACAAATCTTGGACTGGGAGATTGATTATAATCCATGTCTCATTTCTATACGATATCTTGTTGAATGGAGGAATATTTTATCACTTATCTAAGGACACGTTACTGACGAGGTAAGAGTTCAACACTGACTTTTGGTAGCTAAAACTTGTTGGTCGATTTAGTAGTTATACTGGAAGTTATAGTTGTTAGACTTATCCAAATGGGAGACTATTGGATTACGTGTAACATCCCAAAATACGACCCAATAATTTTTGTTTAATCATTACTAAAAACATCATGGTAATATCATAAAATAAAACTCATTCGTCAATATCTCAAAACCATAGAAAAGTATCACGAGAAAACTGTATCAAGACTGTATCAAATCACATCTATGAAAAGCTAAAACAACTCCCAGGACAAACTGAAACTGAAGCTGTGGTGTGTGCAATGCCATCAATCCGAGCTCTTTCATTTACTTGCGGAAGTACCTGAAACCAAAACTGAAACTGTAAGCACAAAGCTTAGTGAGCTCCCCCAAACTACCACATATCATAAATAACATGTAACAAAATATTGGGCCTTGCCCACTGCATCGGACCGAAGTCCAGAAACTGCATCGGAACGAAGTTCGGAAACTGCATCAGACCGAAGTCCAAAACTAACCAGGGTCTTGCCCTCTGCATCGGACCGAATTCCGGGACTAACTGCATCGGACCAAAGTCCGTAAGTGACTGGGACCTTGTCCCCTGCATCAGACCGAAGTCTGGAACTAACTGTATCGGACCGAAGTCCGGAAACTAACTGGACATAACATAGCATAGCATAAACATATCAACTAGCATGAACACATAAACTACATGCTGTATCGGGTCGTAGCCCGGAACACATAACACATAAACCCTGTCTGAGCCACGAAGGCATCAAACATTCTAACTCCTGCATCAGACCGAGGTCCGGAAACTACTACTAATTAAATGGGCCGACATTGTGGCCTTAGACCCGTTCCTACTAGAAGGAAACTCACCTCGTAACGCTGACTGTCGAGATGCTAAATCTGAAACTGTCTGACAGCTGCTCTGGAACTCCTCGGCTACAATTTCCATAAACACTAAGTCAAATACTGATAACTAACCTTAGGGTAAAATGACTATTTTACCCCCTGGTCAAAGTCAACTTCCTGGCTGAACGGACTTGCCGAGTTGGCTCGCCAACTCGCCGAGTCCCTTCCATCTGTTCTAGTTTTATACCCGTTTCTACTTGTCGAGCTTAGCAAAGACTCGAGGCGTTCTTCTTCGATGCACACATACTGAGTCCAAGTTCATCCGACTCGCCGAGTTGAAGAAAAAATCGTCAAGTGTAAGGCAATCTTCTTCGGACTTGCCGAGTCCAACATTCTACTCGCCGAGTTTATTCAGTCCTTTTTCCATACTGACCTGATTTGAGCCAAGCAGCAGCTCCAAACCAGAGATCTAGGCTTTTAGTGCATGCTTATCATGTAAAGTTGCAAACTTTATGTGCATCCATAGCTTTAGGGGCTTCAAATGTCCATACTAAGCTCTTAATGGGGTTCTAAGCTCAAGAGGGACCTTAATCACAATATGACTGAAACTTAACACTTCTAGAAGGTAATGAGAGTCCAGATATGAAGTCTAACCTAACCATAAGGCTTCTCTACAAAGGATTTGGGGTTTTAGGGCTTAAAAGCAACAACTTAGGGACAAACAAAATCTAATAGATCAATAATCAAGATGGAAACTTTATTACCATAATGGATGACCACAAACGAATGTGTTCTGGATCTAAGTCCCCTTCCTTGACCTCTTCAACCTCTCCCTTCTTCCACTTGCTCCAAAGTGCCCCAAAAGTCCCTTCACAAGGCAACAATCACTTAAACTTACCAATGGAGGCTAGGGTTTCGATAAGGAATTATCTGAGGGTGATGGAGGCTGAGATGGGGCTATAACGACGTTTAAATCGGGTGCAAACCTTAAGGATTAGGGTTTCCTCCTGACTGGCCTACTCGC